CTTCGCTGCCTCCCCCCCCCCCAGCTGCATAGTGAGGATTTAACTATCCGCCCAATATTTTTTTCAGGTTTTAAGATTTTTGTGCACACCTGGGGACCGTCCGAAGTGTGCACAAAAATCTCCCTCCTCCCTAGGTGCCCCCAATGCACGGATTTAGGTATCCGCACACCAGGGGGCATCTTTGGAATTAGATATATAGATTAACATGTGCTCCAGGGAAGTACAGAGACAGTTCACAATAGCAGTAACTGGTGTTAATATCATCTGTCTAGTTTTGCTAAACTGACTAGCACCTGTCACGGCTAAGAAATCCCAGATCCTTTGGGGGAGCTGGTATTTTCAACTTTGTAATGAACTCTAATTCAGCACTTCCACATTGGAGTCTCCCTTTGAAGTTCCTTTGCTGGGCAATGAAGACTTTTAGATGAGCAACTGTTTCTGGGAGATGGAACTGTTTCCCACTGGTTTCTTAACTTTGACATTTTTAACAGCAGATGTAGACTTTCAAGACTACAATGAACAGAGTTGCTGTAGTTTTACAAGTCCCTAATTACCACAGTACTTTGTTTTTCCTTTTCAACAATTCATTTTTTCAGATGTCCAGTTGAAAAAACACATCCCTTTTGGAAACGGTGTTATATACAACAGCTAACTAACTTACATCTACTATTTTAATGAAACATCAAAAAAATAGAAATTGTGTTACTCTTAATTTTCAGTTTCTGTGAAGCCACGTGATGCAGATTTTATGTACAGTCCGTGTTTGCTTCATTTCTTTTCAGCAGTTTTCTTTTGTTCAATGAGCATTGCCCTTTCATGGAAAAAAGAATTCATTATTTGATGGCATCTCTCTGTAGTCCTACTTCAGGATTGCCTGTCGAGTTCAGTACAATTTTAGACCCCACAGCAGGCTTTAATAATTTGTGAACATATAAGTTTTGCAAATAACTTACAGGACCAGACTTACTTGGACATCTTTCAACGTTCCATTCAGCTCTGTTTAAAATTCCGTCAAATTCTTTTCCCCTTATATATATATTTTTTAAATTACACAGAAGAATTCTCCACCAGTGCCCTCCTTTCCCCCTCCTTACAGATCAAAAGATTATTCTGCGCTGCCGGCTAAGAGACTATGGCATTTTCTGGTGAAACAAGAATTACTACAGGACACCTTTATCCGGTACACCTTTGCCAAGAAAAGGAAGCAAAGCGAGGTACATGGAAGCCACGGCAAACAGAATTGACAGATGTCCGAGCAGTGTTCTTCCAGCACTGCCCTTTTTAAAAACTGTGATGCTTTTTCGTGCGGGTGGCTTATTCCATTTTAGCATGGCCGTGTGCTTGTGTTGCAGACGTGATTTTTCTTAGGCAAGCATAAATGAGCTTTAGAACACTTGTATGTGTGCATAAACATGGGCAAGGTAATGTTATCGACTGATGTTATGGATTGGCTTGGTGTTTTCAAGTAATGCACACAGGGTCTCTGGTGCAAACACAATGCTCTCTCCATGCACAGCTTGAACATCTGGCCAGTTGCACATGTGCAAAGCTGGCAAAACGTAGTGTTCCCTCTAAGCTGAGTTAGTGTGAGCTAGCTCACAGTTTTTTAGTCTCCGGCTCACACCTTTTTGTCTTCGCTCAGGAAGGATGGCTCCAGAGCAAACTAATTTATGCAGCAGCCAAATCCCTCGCTCACACCTTTAATGCCAGGAGCTCACGAAGTAGAATTTTTGCTCACAAGGCTTCACAGCTTAGAGGGAGCATTTGGATCCAGACTAAATTGGTATCTTCCACTGATTCCTTCCTCCATTTGTAGACCCCCATATATTTTTCTCCAGGATCCCCTGTCGCCGATCGTGCAGAGATCTATGGGCTGCAGTGAGTTGGAGGGGAGCGTAAGGGAACGTTCCACTCCATTAACAGAAAATTTAGTCTGGAATCAACCCTGCAAGCCCCCTCCCCTGTTCTGTCCCACTCCATTCTGTCTTCTGCTTCTCTCCCACTGCGGAGACTATGAGCCGGCTGTTTAGCAGCTAAAAAAACCCCCTTCCTACTAGTGTGAAGTTTGTGTTAGTGTTTTTCCGCAGTTCATTTGCTATGCTGTACCTTTTTGTGTCCCTCCGGGAGGCATTGCATTCCAAATGCTTCTGTGGAAGCCCTTGTTGTTGAATAGACAAAGGGGGGAAAAAAGAACCACTGTGCATTTGTCGTTAGTGGACCTAACTGGGTGGCCTTTGTAAAACGCTCATTTCGGAACATTTTTCATTCATTTTTTTCCTTTTATATATTTGTTTGTGCATGTGTCGTGTTTTGTGTTTGTGGTCGTGTGGCGTTTGTGTAGTCTGTAGAAGGCCGCGAGGAGCAGGTCACACAAAACAGCATAGCAGAAGATGAGAAAAACAAGGTAGCGTTTTTGCCTCCTGAGCACTTCTGCGGGTCTCTCTCTCTCTCTCTATTCCTTTCTCTCTCTCAGTCACCGACAAGAAGATCTGTGGCCTTTGTCACATTTCTGGCTGATGCCGAATTTGTGAACAGACAATTCAATAACCAGAGCCACGCAGTCCGCTTCAGAGCACTAGAATGTGACAGCAGTTTGCGAGCTGGGCGTGAGAAGTGAACCTCTGTGGTTTCTGGGAAACCCAGGAGGAGATGCAAGAAGCCCTCCACAAAGGGGTTGCCAGCTCTGGGTCAGGAAATTCCAGAGATTTGCGGATGGAGCCCTGGAGAGGGTGGGGTTTGGGGAAGGGGGAGCTCCCAGCAAGGATGTGATGCCAAGATTCCATCCTCCAGAGCAGCCATTTTCTCCAGAGGAATCCATCTCCTTCACCCGATGATGAGTTGTAATTCCGGGAGATGCCCAGGCGCCACCTGGAGGTTTGGCAACCCTAACTGCACATCATCTCTTTTCCAAGAATGCCATCGCTGCTTAAGTTTCTCGTGCATGCTTGCTTCTTGTGTTTCCCATCGTCTGTGCGTGCAACCGCAAAGCTTTCCCAGGCTCCCGTTTTAAATCGTGGCGTTCTCGTGATATTTTGTAGGTGGAGGCAGAACTCGGCTACCCAGGGGGGAAAGCAAAAATTATACACAAGGAGTCGGATATGATCATGGCGTTTGCCATCAATAAGGTAAGAGTCTTTCTGCCCAACGGGACTGCTCCCGGCCTTTGTCTCACACCCACCCCTGGTCCGGTGGGCGCTGAGGCAGGCCCGTAGCCAGGATTTTGTGGCTTGTGGGACAAAATTTTTTCTGGTGGGACGGAAGTTCTCAGTGCAGAAAGAAAAGCCATTTAGCCAATAGAAAGCTGCGACCGGGATAGATCTCTAAACTGCAAGCTGCCAACCACTTTAGATGACAGTTCTCAGCTGCTGCAAGTTAATCACTTCTGCCAGCCTAAGCAACAATTCCGAGAACAAGCCGGCAGGTGGGGGTGATGACTTCTATAGTCAAGAAAGCCAACACGCAGGCAGAAAAACGCTCTTCAAGGAGACCAGTGTCTTGACACAGAGTTAGAAGGGATCCTAGAGGTCACCCACTCCCTCCACTCCAACCCCCTTGCTCAGTGTGGGAATTAGTCAACTACAGCACCCCACTCTGCTTAAAGGAGCACACGCCTTTTCAAAAATGTTTTAAATGATTGAAAAAAGTATTTACAGGAGAGATTCTTGTGGGGCTGTGCCTTTAAGAAAGGGGGCGGAGCCTCCAAAAGCCCCACCTTAGCTACAGGCCTGCGCTGAGGCAACCAATTGCCACCCCCCTTTGACTGGACACATACTGAGGCCCCATGGTCCCTGTGTGCAGCTGCAGCTTCTTTTCTTGCTGTGGCTCATCAAGATGAAAAGGCAAGAGTAGCCTCCGGCTCTTTAGATCCCCCTCACCTGCTTGCCTCTGATGCAGGGCACCTGTACACACCGACACGCACTGATGCGGCCCTCCTCCCGTCCAGATGCTGCTGGCAAACCCAGCCTCTTCCCCTCCTTCTCAGCCTTCAGGGTAGTAGTGGCCGGAGCAGCGTTCTGGTAGTGCTTGTTGACGCTTATCGCGCTGGCCGAAGGGGCCTTCATTTCCACTCTTGCTTTTGTGTTTCTCCCACTCAGGCCAACGTCAACGAGATCGTTTTAGCTTCTACTCACGACGTTCAGGAGCTGGATGTGTCGGCCTTGTTGGCTGCTCAGTCATACATATGGATCGGGGAGGAATATGACCGTGAATCCAAAAGGTTGGCTGTTCTTACCCAGCAGCCGTATTTAAGTGGAAAGTTACAAATACTTTTAAGTACAAATCTGTAACATAATTTCTGGATGTGATCCCGTTTTCTTCTTCTCCGTGTCCAAATTCCCTCTTGTGGAGTTTTGGGTTTTTTTCCTCTCTGAGTCATAGCCAGATTTTATAAATAAATAAATCTTTCTTTAGGCTCTTGGAAACAACTAAGCATCCCCCCCCCATCTTTTAGTTCTTCTGATTCATCCATCCTTGTTCCAGTCACGGAATTCCCTTTTGCTGAGAAATATGAAATCTCAGTGGTATTTTAATGTGGGGAATTACTCTTCTGTGCAGTGAAGCCTTTATGCTTTCACATTATGCATCCCAACCCTTCATAACAGGACAGGGTATATATGAATCTGAAGAAGATGCGTGACATCACACTTTTCCTGCCCGGGGGGGGGGAAGGTGACACAGAGAAGGACCAGGGCCGTCGTTTGAGCACCTCAGATATAATAATAATAATAATAATAATGATGATGCTTTCGATTTATTGATCGCTCTTTCCCACATACCTGCTGGCTCAGAGCGATTTACAGTTACTCTTGAGACAGTTGGACTAACAATATTTGCGGAGATAGGGAAGACAAACATACAGCATTAATTACACACACATTGCAGCTAGCCGGGCTTCATCTGCGGGCTGGGTCAGTCGTGTTCCTACGGCATCTTGTCGGCTGGCTGATGACGTCTGGCTTCTTGATGTTGTGCAGCCACACACCGCCACCGCCTGTCAGATCAACCCTCTTGAAAACAAAAAGGTTCATTTTGTCAGAATTATCACCCCAACTGAGGGTGTGAAGAGAGAACTTCTCCAGTGTTCCCTCAGGTGACTCTGCCTTTTCTCCCTTGCCCACCCCTTATGGAAATGCGTCCTGTAATGTCTTCAGGATCTCTTCCCTGCCCTTAAGAACTCTCCTTCACCCTTTCTGTGAAGGCTTTGGCGTAGCTCCTTCCTCCTCCTTCCTTACTCATAGAAACACTGAGTTGGAAGGGGCCATGCAGGCCATCTGGTCCAACCCCCCTGCTCAATGCAGGAACCACCTGAAGCATCCCTGACAGGTGTTTGTCCAGCCGCTGCTTGAAGACGGCCAGCGAGGGGGAGCTCACCACCTCCCGAGGCAGCCCATTCCACTGCTGAGCTACTCCTACTGTATAAAATTTTTTTCCCTAAGATCCAGCCAGTACTTTCCCACCCTTAATTTAAACCCAAGTTTGCAAGTCCTGTCCTCTGCCGCCAAGAGGAACAGCTCCCTGCCCTCCTCTAAGTGACAGCCCTTCAAATGCTTGAAGAAAGCAATCCTGTCCCCCCTCAGCCTCCTCTTCTCCAGACTGGACATTCCCAAGTCCCTCAGCCTTTCCTCATAGGGCTTCTTGGTCTCCGGGAAAGGCTGAGGGATTCGACATAAGTTTCTGGAAGGGTATGCCTACTTTTCTGCTGTCTACTTATTTATTCTGCTGTTCATTTATTTATTAGATTTTTTTTTAAGTCTCCATCCACCCAAAGTGGCAGCTTACAACACTAAAACAATAAGGTAAAAACAACATAAAAACAAATAGCAAATATAAAATATTAACATTAAAATACGTGGCTATCACCGTACTACTATGTGGTTATTTACCCTCCAAAGGCCAACCTAAACAACCTTCCACAGCTTTGCATGTCCTGTGGAAACTAAACAAGTCTGGCAGGGCACAGTTGTCATCCGAGAGTGCATTCCACAGGGTAAAAAGGTAAAGGTTCCCTTGCTCGAAAGCCAGTCGAATCCGACTCCAGGGTTGCGGTGCTCATCTCCATTTCAAAGCCGAAGAGCCAGCGCTGTCCGAAGACGTTTCCGTGGTCATGTGGCCGGCATGACTAAACACCAAGGTGCACGGAACGCTGTGACCTTCCCACCGAAGTGGTCCCTATTTATCTACTTGCAATTTCTTGCTTTCGAACTGCTAGGTTGGCAGGAGCTGGAATTAGAGACGGGAGCTCACTCCGTCGTGCGGCACCTGGGTCTCGAACTGCTGAACTACCGACCTTCCACAGCCTGCAGCTCAGCGTCTTAACCACTTGAGCCACAGGGTAGGGGGCCACAAATGAGGAGGCCCTTCCCCTGGTGACAGCTGACCAAGGCCATCCATCCTTCCCTCTTTCTCTCTTCCCTACAGCCCTGTTCAGTCATTACAGTTTTGGTGATCTGACCCTATGTATGAGGAAATCATGGCATGCACAGTCCTCTCAATACACACAGTCACCACTTCGATCAAACCAGGCAAGGTGTATAATTGCCAGCTTTGGAACATACATTCAGGAACCCAGATTTTTGAGGATATGCATTTGCCTGTGCCAAAGCTGGGAGAAAGCACACATTGTCCCGTTCAACCAAAATGGTAACCACACATATAGAGAAGATTGCACCAACCATGACGTCCCCCTGCGTTTGGCTAGGTTGCGAAAATTGTAACTACCGAACAGGGCTTATGCTGCCTCCTTTTCAGGCAGAAACTCCTCAAGGGAAGAGCCTACTTTGTCCTTGCTTTGCATGTAGCTGGAGCTGAACAAATAAACGAGGACCTAATTACCAGGACACCCTGACCCTGGGTAGCCCAGGCGAGCCTGATCTCATCAGATCTTGGAAGCTCAGCAGGGTCAGCCCTGGCTAGTATTTGGAAGGGGGACCACCAAGGAATACCAGGATCAGGATGCAGTGGCAGGCGATGGCAAACCACCTCTGACCGTCTCTCGCCTTGAAGACCAAATGGGGTCACCTTAAGACACCTGTGCTTACACTGTAAATTGTTAAATGACATTCGAGTGGAATTTATAGAAGCCTCCCTTAGGTTGGTAGCAGGCCAATCGGATAGAATCAAGGCACAATTTCTCCTTGCTTCACGAGATCCGGAGATCATTGAACTGACCGCTAAGTTTCTCCATGGTTTTATAAAACGGAAGAGTGACCCTGATCATATTAATGATTCTTAATTTCTAAGTCTAAAAACTTAAGTTTAAACGTTTAGAATGCCAATTTATTTTATGATTCAGGCATCTTCTGTATGGTCAAATCTAGCTTGTGACAACTTGAGTTAGGCCTGACATAGCCACGACTATCTATTTTATAATTTCTTTAGGATTGTATTATTGGTAAATGCTTCTAATATTGTATGCCAATAAAAGGTATTTGAATTGAATTGAAGACATCTGTGACTTGACGGTATTTTCCACCACCAATTACCAGGAACAGAGAAGTCGAACGTTCTCTTTATTGCCTTTTCCAGTTCGGATGACGTCGACTTCCGTGGCTCCACCACGACACTCACTCAGAGCACGGCGTCTTTTGGCATGGCTCAGATGCAACCGCCACCTTCTGTTTCGACTGCGTCTATGCCGTGGTTAGGCAGTGGGCAGACCAGCACCGGAGCAGGCATAGTATGTACTTTTGTCCTTGTGTGTTGCCGTAGCAATTGATAGCATAATCGACATGTCTTGTGTTCTTTCATTGTTTCTGTAAAAACCACAAGGCTTTTTGGTTGGCCACTAGATGGCAAGAAATGCCAAAGCAATTCCCTCCTTCTGGGAACTGTGTCTTGATCATGTAATAGTCCTGTACGGTTTACTGGGGCAGCTAGTATATGTGTGCTCCCCTTCCTTTCAAAATGATATCCAGTCCTGCATTGATTCACAGGTAGTGGGCAGAAGTGGTAGAGTCCTGCAGTTGGTCGTGAGCTTGTGCCACTTGCACAGCTGCAGATGTTAGGAGAATCGCTTTTTAAATTTTGACACATCAATCAATAAAAGAACAATGTGAAATCCCAGAGGGGGGGAAAGCAAGAAATGCTATTAGCTTATTTTTATATTATAAAAAAAAAACCCTAGTCCAAAGTGATCTAATAAAATTAGGGTGAGTATTCCAGTTAATTCCATTTCTGTGCAAACAAGACCAGAGAATTTCTTCCTCATCTAACATATACCTTTCCAGTGAGCTTATCCAGTTCAGCAATACCCAATGTCATAAAGCAAGGACCAATCCCATTTGTGAGTGCTCCATTGTTTTAAGGCAAAAATAAAATTACCCACAAGTATAAAAATTAGTGCAGCCAGAAGAAGGCTTTTTACTTTTGCTTACGGGGAGTTTTTAGTGTTCAGGTTTTTTTGCATGACCATCCAAAAATAGGAACCCCCCCCCCACCCATGCAGTCGAAAATCCTAATAAGATTATATAGGATTGCAGCCTTAAACTTAAATTGTGAAAGGGGATAGTTGTGCATATATATTCACATGCAGTCCTTTCTCTCGGCCATAAACTTAAGTGATTTACCATGTTCTTGTGCCACATGTGGAGAAAGGGGACCATAAACCTCACACAACATTTCTTTTGCATGAAGTTGATCAAACGGAACTTGAATAACGTGAAAAGGATGACTTCGCATCCGGTCCATCAATATTGTAAGTGAAGCAAACCAAACGGCGGGGGGGGGGGGTGAGGACACAACACTAAATTCTGCTGTTGTTTCCTTCTGAGTTAGCTGTATGATGACTTGGCCCCGGGTTCTGTTCCCCAGATCTTACGGGAGCCCAGGACGGGAGCGTGCGAATGTTCGAATGGACGAGGCCACAGCAACTGGTGTGCTTCCGGCAAGCAGGCAACGCGAGAGTCACTCGAATGTATTTCAATTCTCAGGGGAATAAGGTCAGCGCTCTCACCGCACTTCTCAATAAGCGTTTAATGGTTCGGTGGACGCTTGGTCCCTGGGCCCATTAAAATGGAAATGTTTGCAGTTTCTAGAATATAGCAGCTCACCTCTAGAGGGAACAGAGGCAAAAGAAAGTAAGGGAGCGGGAGGGAGGAATGTATTACCACCGCCACTGTTCCCTCTAAGCTGAGTTAGTGTGAGCTAGCGCACCATTTTTTAGCCTCCGGCTCACACATTTTTGTCTTAGCTCAGGAAGGATGGCTCCACAGCAAACTAATGTGTGCAGCAGCCAAATCACTTGCTCACAACTTTAATGCCAGTAGCTCACAAAGTAGAATTTTTGCTCATAAGACTCCACAGCTTAGACCACCGCTGCAAATTGAGAGAGTTTGTGTAGACATCTGGATTTGAGTCCCGTAGCACCTTAGAAACCAACACGATTTTTGGGGTACGAGCTTTCAAGAGCCGACGCTCCCTTCATCAGATACAAGTTTCTGACGCCAAGCTGCTACTGGATTTGAATCGAACTGTATTGCCTACTCTGACTGGCAGTGGCTCTCCAGGCTCACAGGCAGAGGTCTTTCACGTCACCTGCTGGAATTGAACCTGGGACCTTCTGCATGCCAACCAGAGGCTCTGCCACTGAGCTTCTTTGACTCCTCCCTAAATGAAGCCACCTCATAGGAAGGCAGACCCTCAGTCCATCAAGGTCAGTATCGCCCACTCAGACTGGCAGCAGCTCCCCAGGGCCTCAGGCAGAGGCCTTTCCCATCACCTCCTGCCTGGTCCCTTTAACTGGAGGTGCCGGTCTTCTTCACTCGGCATGGACTTACGTCCCTGCACAGATGAATTGCTAGTGCTGCTTGGGAAATACTGTGGGGTTGAACACTAGAACCCGAAGAGAAGAATCTGCTTTTATGCATGAAGCTGCCTTATACTGAAGCAGACCACTGTTCCCTCAAGGTCAGTGTTGTCCGCTCAGACTGGCAGCGGCTCTCCAGGGTCTCAGGCAGAGGTTTTCCCATCACCTTTTAGCCAGAGATGCCAGGGATTGAACCTGGGACTTCCTGCATGCTGAGCTCTGCCACTGAGCCAGAGCCCCTGTCCGACATTTGCCTGTGTTTCTGTTGAATCATCCCCTTACCCTTTGGTGCCATTTTGAAAGCTTTTAGACAATCTTTCCCTAAGTTCTGGAGCACTTTTTGCTCTTTTTTAAGAACAGCTCATTATAAAACGTTGGACAGCCAAGAACGCCGGTCTCTCCTGTCCGGGCAGGAGGCTATAAATACTCCATAATGCCTCTCAACGGGAAGGCCGGCTCCTACCAAGCTCCATATGAGCCCATTCGGGAAGTTCTTAGTCTTCTCTTGGCACACTGTGGAAGAAGAGGAAGGTGTGAAGTGGAAGGAACCGTAGCTCGGATAATGCCGGTTAAGAAACCGGCTTGCGGAGTTCTGGTTGCTGGAGAGACAGGGGGTGTGCTTAGTGGGGGGGCTGCCGTTGGATCTAAGAACCGATGCTAAGCGGGTGGGTGGGATTCTTCAGCCCCTGAGAGCTTCCACATCAGGCCTGCCTTTTGGAGCAAGACTCATTGGAAAAGGGGGTTGTGACTCCATATTCCTGCTTTGTGTGCTGCAGGTCCCAGGTTCGATTCCCAGCATCTCTGCTTACAAGATCTCACGTAACAAATGCTGGGAAGGACTTTCTCTTCCTGGGAACCCTGGGGAAATCACTTGGTCCGGCCCTCATTCAGCCAGGAGTAGGCAGGAGAAGAGGGAGGGTAAGTTGCTTCCTCCCTGCCTCTCCCCACCCCTGCCTGCCTGGGGCCAGGGAGGGCCTTCGCGGGGCTTCCTTGCACTTCCACCGGCCTTGCAGGTCCACCGCCGGCCCCTCATGGGGCTCGGCAGTGGAGCTGCAAGGCCGGCGGTGGTGGTCGGGACCGTTGGGGGCGGGGTGTGTGGCCTTATGACACACTTCCGGTGATGTCAGGGGGTGTGGCATATGCTACTGAGTTATGCTAAGGAGTTCCCCTAGCTCTTTTTCTACGAAACGACCCCTGACTTGGAGTCAGGAGCAAAGGTGGACCAGTACTACAGGTCCATGGGTTCAAGGCTGGTGCTTGATATTTTTCCAGTTTGGTGTAGTGGTTAAGAGTGGCGGACTCTAATCTGGGAGAACCGGGTTTGGTTCCCCGCTCCTCCGTATGCAGCCAGCTGGGTGACCCTGGGTGATCGCAGAGCTGTTCTCTCAAGAGCAGTTCTCTCAGCCCCGCCTACCTCACAGGGTGTCTGTTGTGGGGAGGGGAAGGGAAGGAGATTGTCAGCCACTCTGAGACTTCGAGTGACGGGCAGGGTAGAAATCCAATCTCCTCTTCTCCTCCTCCTCCTCCTCCAAAATTGCCATCAAATTGCAGCATCTCTGCCTAAAAGGATTAGGATAGCAGGTGGTATGAAAGATCCTGGAGAGCCCGTCGGTGTTGACAAGACTGACCTTGGAAGACCAAAGGTCTGACTCGGTAGAAGGCCACTTTGTGTGTTCCTCTACGCACTCACTCTTGGTTCAAACACGGAGTGCATTTTCTTGAACCCTTGGTAGTTACATGGAAGTTACTATCATGCCTGTTGATTTATTTGCTTTGGTCTCTCCGCCCTGCCCCCCAGCCACCCATGCCTGGTGTGGCACAGTGAGGAGGGCAGAGAGGACTTTGCTTCCTCCCGGCCATTGGCAGCGCAGAGGGCAGTGGGCACGGACTCTGAAATCCGTGTCGCCACTCTCAGCTGTGGAGTCTTGTGAGCAACAATTCTACCTTGTGAGCTACTGGCACTAAAGTCATGAGCGAGCGATTTGGCTGCTGCGTAGATTAGTTTGCTCCGGAGCCATCCTTCCTGAGCGAAGACAAAAAATGTGTGAGCCGGAGGCTAAAAAACTGTGAGCTCGCTCACACTAACTCAGCTTAGAGGGAACACTAGTTGCGGGCCCACTGGGTCCCAACCAGGCTCACGCGGGCAGGCCACAGGGGCTTGGCAAGCAGTGGCACAGCAAGGCGCAGTGGCTGAATGTAGGGTTGCCAATCTCCAGGCAAGGCCTGGAGATCTCCTGCTCTTGCAACTGATTTCCAGACAGTGCAGCTCAGTTCTCCTGGAGAACTTTGGAGGGTGGACGCGACCGGCCCTGTGACCCGCTGAAGTCCCTCCTCTCCCCCAAGCACCGCCCTCCTCAGGCGCCGCTCCCCAAATCTCCAGGTATTCCCCAACCCCAGAGCTGGCCACCCTCGCTCAGTTTGCCCTCAGGGTGACAAGACTTTAAACAAGTCCAGGTTTCTGAAGAATGTTCTCATTTATAAATGCTTAAAAGCTACGATATTAAAAAAATACGTCACCAAGAGTACCAGATATGTTCTTTAACAACTCGGTCATTGGGAAGTATGGCCATGTTTTCATAAAGTTAAACAAGTATAAAGCCAACAGTCGTGATAGTCTGACCCACAATCAAACAGTCATAAGACTTATAAAGAATGCTGTTTATGTATTGCAATCTAAAGCACTACAACATGATACACAACGTCGTCTCCGGATTACATAACGTTTCAAAAAATGAATCTTCTTCAGGAGATATTATAGTGGTGCCAAAGCTCTCAGTTTCATAAATGTTAGACAACAAGTCTTAAGAATATTAAATTCAGATAGGACGCTGATCTCAATTAACATTCAGGCTCAAAATATGCTGCTATGTTTCTACTGGATCCCGGGCGTGTGTGTCCATGTTTTCATAAAGCCATGAATATTGTCAACAGAACAAGTCAAATCTACTTGGACGGGAGACCTCCAAGGGATACCGGGGCCAGGACGCAGAGGCAGGCAATAGAAAGCCACCTCTCTGAAATGTCCAAGCCCCTCTAGGGATCACCAGAAGTCAACCATGACTTCCTGGCACACACACATATACACAAAATACTCACACACCCCCCCAAATCTCTCTCTCTCTGCAGTGTGGCGTGGCGGACGGAGAAGGATTCTTAAGCATATGGCAAGTAAACCAAACGGCAACTAATCCGAAACCTTATCTGGTAAGCAGTTAGAGCGACTCTCTTTTTTCGAAAACAATCATTTCTGTGTGTCTCTTATTTCTCCAAGTTTTAGGCAGCTGAAGAGGACCTCAGAGTGTCCCTCTCTTTCGTGGTGATCCTCTTGGGTGTCCTGGAGAGGAGACTGGGGCGGGGGGGGGGGGGGGGGGGCCTCAGCCAGGGCCCAGGCGAGGTATCCCCACCCTCGCTTTGTCCTCCCCGTCTCCTGGCAGCCGCGTTTTCGGCTTCAGGAGAGCCTCAGAGCTGCCGCGTCTGCATTCCGCAGGCAGCTTCTCCGGCAGAGCCTCCCCTTGCTACGCTCGCGAGAAGGTTGCTTCTCAGAGGAAGGTCAAAGAGCAGGAGCCAGTGGCCTGCCCACCCCCCTGGCAGGGTTGCTGCCTCCGGTTCACTCTTTTGCTGTGGCCGCCTCACAGTAGGCCCGGCTTTGCTCTACTCCACGTAGACCCATGGGGGAGAGGAACAGCAGCATGAAGGTGCGGCTACTGATGGAAATGTTAATAATAGAGCGAACTAAGCTCGGGGCCTCCTTAACATCTCCCGGTCCCTTTTCACTCTCGGCCAGAGGATCTCTGTCAAGACCATCAGACTGGCAACCTGTAAATAGAGGCCCCCAAAGAGCCAGAATATTCTATTGCTGCTTTTGGGAAGAACCTGCTGCGAGTGGGCATGTGTGGAAAGCCAGGACTCCGTGCCTCCAGTCGGTCTGCGTATGACTGCCAAGGAGGGTGGCGAGGCCGTGTCACTCAGTGGTAGAGAAGAGTCCTCCGTGGTTCTGACACTGGGCTTGTTACCTACAATGATGTGCTTCCCGGTGCTCGGCTTGTGCTTCCTGTTCCTGCCCACGCTTCTAGCCTTGACGTCAGCAGAGTCATGACCCCATCCCTTCTTCCTGTCATGTGACTCAGAGGCCATGAACCTTCCTGTCACACGCTTGCAGCTCAGTGAGTGACTTATGAAAGCATAAATCCTTTCCTTCTTCATGTCCTGTAATTCAGAGCTGACATGCTGGGGATTCTTCCCAGGATGTTTTTAGATCAGCTGCCTGGTTGAAGAAGCACTCAGCCTAGAACGGTTCAGATTGCCAATGGTCCATCCCGTGCAGCTGATACCCGTCTGTCTTGTCTTGGCAGAGCTGGCAGTGCCACAGCAAAACCACAAGTGACTTTGCATTCATTACCTCTTCGAGTCTGGTGGCGACGTCTGGGCAGTCTAGTGACAACAGGTATGTCTGCTTGTTTATTTAAGAACATAAGAGAAGCCACTGTTGGATCAGGCCAGTGGCCCATCCAGTCCAACACTCTGTGTCACACAGTGGCCAAAACCCAGGTGCCATCAGGAGGTCCACCAGCGGGGCCAGAACTCAGGAACCCTCCCACTGTTGCCCCCCCCCCAAGCTCCAAGAATACTGATATTTATTTATTTATTTATTTAATTCGCCCCATCCTTTTCCAAACAGAGGCCTGGGGGGGGGGGGAGGTTTCCCACAACATACGCCACATAATGCTAAAACTTAAAATAGATAATAAAGCCGATAAATACAAATAAATACAATAAAGCAGATTCTAATTAAAACTCAGCCAGTCATCATCTGTGGAACAAATCTGGACAGACAGACAGCTGTTGGTTAATTAAATGCTGCACAAAACAAGGCAGCCTTACTTGCCATACGGCACTTTAATAGAACCTGGAGGGCGCGAATCTGCTCGGGGAGCTGGTTCCAGAGAGGAGGGGCCGCCACCAAGAAGGCCCTTGCCCTGGCAGATGATGGGCAGCCTCTTCGTGGAGCAGGCGTCTGCAGGAGGCCCCGTGACCAAGACCGAAAGAGGCGGGGGGGTCATATTGGGCAAAGCTGAAACAGCAGAAAAGTTTGCACCGGCACTGCAACTTGGTGAATAACCTCTGTATGTTTTGTGTCCTGCAGAAACGTGTGTTTATGGGACACGTTGGTGTCACCAGCGAATAGCCTCATACACGGTAGGTTTGTTGCTACATGTCAAGGGGTGAGGGAGGTTCCCCTAAATAAGTGGTGGGCCTGCATAGGGACTGTAGCTCAAAGCTGATGCATTTGGTTTGAATTCAGCAGGTGCCCAAGATAAATTTTTCCAGATTTCAAGTT